TATCTCAAATTGATCAATTTAATGATTAATAATTAGTAACAGTGATAAAACTAACTGTAAAAATTTAAGCAATTATATTAGTGTTTAGATATTTTATCTTCCCAACATTAGGAAAAATACTAAAAAACAACTAAAACTTGTTAAAAAAAACAAACAAAAAAAATGAAATGTTTAATGAAATAACTAAAGCCTGGCTTAAAATATCAGCAGTCCAGTTCTTATTAGTCCAAGGGAGAAGAGAAAAGGGGAAATCTCTGTGAGACCCTGCCCGCCCTGTGGGATTCCTCTGCTTTCTTCTGCTAAGACCACAAAGATCTGCTACTCTTGTTACCTTTCTTCTGTTGCTGAATATGCTCTGCTGCCGCTCCCTCTCCCTGCTGGACCTCCTTTACAACATCCATTCAGCTCTACTCTTGCTCTGGCCTGCTGCTCCCTTCTTGGTATTTAACCCATCTGAAGATTTGGGAAAGGGTTATTCATTCTGCCCTTTGAAAGAACCTAGATCTGTATCCCAAACAGTTTTTAGTCCACAGAGGTGTGGGTCATTTCAACAGCAACTTATAAAACAATACACTGGAAAGACGATCTAGACATAAGTAAACATTTCTTAAATTAAGTATATTTAGCCTTAATTCGAGTAGGTAAATGAGATAGTTTGCCAGTGGAATAAGTATTTTTACTCCTAAAATAAGACAGTTAGATAACATGCATTTGAAATAAAACAATGCAATTGTGTTTTTCTCATTTTAAGTCTAAATTGTCTTGTTCCATTTGCAAAAAGTCACTTTTACCTCCTCAATCCTACAACAAATGCACTTGTTTTAAGAAAAACTTACTTATCTAGATTTTTTTCAGTGTAGAAAATGCAATTAAAATCCCACTGAAACAATAACATCCTTGCTAAGAATAAGGAAAAGCATGCACTAAAAGCTTTGCCAACATCTATAAGATGGAAAGATTTACACTCAAATTTGCAAGCTATGATTCTGGATGCTAAAGCAGTTTTTGCTAATATTCAGCGCATGATTTCTTCGGTTCTCCAGTAAACAGTTAAATGTCACATTGATCGTTTCCGTATCTCTTTACTATCTTGTTCGATGGCAGTGGTTGCCAGTAAAAACCATTTTAACTTCTTTGCTGTTAGGGAAAAATCTACAATTAGCCGTCTTAGAAACTATTGATAAAATGAATCATGGTTTCAGTACCCTTTTATGACCTAATCACAAACCGTTTTTTATTTCCTTGTTTGTTCATAAGATGGATGTTTCATGAAAGATAAAGGAGCTTGCATGAAGCAAGCTCCTTTATCAGGAGGTTAATTAGGAGGTTCTTTAGGTGAAATATCGACATAAAGTGCAGCCAGTACCAGTCTTGTCTATGAATTGCAGTGATGGTGTGTTTGATTGTCTTGATGGGCTTTAAAATGAACTCTAAAATTGCACCTTAATCAGTCTGTTGTGTTTAGTATTGACTGATTTAAGCCTGGGCTGATAAGTGGAACAGTGGGTAGCACTGCTGCCTTGCAGCAATCTGGGTTCGATTACCAACCTAGCTCTTTCTGCATAGAGTTTGCATGTTCTTCCTGAGCATGCGTGGGTTCTCTCCTGGTTCAGTCCAAAAACATGACTGTTAGGCTAAAGGGCTTCTCTAAAGTCCCCTTAGGTGTGAGTCTGTGTGTGAATGGTAGTTTGTCTCTGTGTTGACCTGCGATGGACTGGCGACCCGTCCAGGGTGTACCCCTCCTTTCGCCCGTAGACAGCTGGAGATTTGCACCAGCACCCGTCGCAAACCCGCTTGGGTTAACCGTGACAGAAAATGGATGGATGGATGATTTAAGCCTGTATGTTTCTGGATTAAGAGTATTTAATTTCATAGTAGTAGAAAGCAGCAACTTTTTCAGATGTATTCCTTTTCAACAGCTTAATAACGTACAAAGAAATAATTCCAGTTAGGTCTATATGAGAACCTAGTAGTCAGAATTTATTGATTTATTAAAAAAAATTGTACAATTTAATTAAAGTTATCATAAGATAATTTAAAATAGAAATAGTTTTGTTAAGTCTGCATATATATTTCTTTATGCCAGGTTGTGATTTACTAATTTAAGTGTCTTACAGTTGTTCAATTAAAATAATTACTTGGAAATATTGATTATTATCAGCATAAATGAAATGTATGCTGATTGTTGAATCAGTTTTATTGGGTAGATCAACAGCAAAGGTCAAAATTAGGTATGAATTTAAATTCTTGATACACCAGAAACACATTTATAACCTCAAGTCTCTTTGTTCGACACCTCTTGACTTTCACTAAGCTGCAATATATTGCGTTTAAATTTTTTTTTCTCCCACAATGTTTACATTTGATCACTGCTGCACTTTAAGAAAATTTAAATATCATGAAAGCTGTACAAAATTAAATTTCATTTTGTATACACTGTTTATACAAAATGACAATAAAAGTTGTGTAAGTCTAGGTAAAAAAAAAAGAGCAATGTCCGGATTACCATTGTCTGCTGAAAAACCTCACTGAACAATAGAATAATATTGAGGAACCATTTTCTGGTAAAATCACATCAAAATATTAATATAATGAATATTCATTTAACAGGAATTTTCTCTGATTCAAAAGAAAAGTTTCTCTCCACATTAACGTGCTGGGTGACACAGCACCTCTGACCTTTCTTTTCTTAGTATTGTATCCTTCTTTATATGAGTAAAAAGTAATCATCAGTTCGATCTCTAACGTTCTGCTCTCTCTGCTTTTTCTCATAGTAGCTTCATCTGGTCTGTTCCTGTTTGGCTGTGACTCCATCCTGAGAGAAATATCAGCTGTGCTCTGCTGCCACCAACACCCTTGTTTATAGATGTTGGAGATCTGCCTTTTTTCCAGTGTAGTCCTGTTTCTCTGACTGTGACTGGCTAAATGTGCTCTCTTCATTCTCTGACATGGGAGCTGGCTCGGAGCTCATCTGCCTGGCTGTGTTTCCTGGAACGGGGGCCGCCTCTTACAGTTGTATTTTGTATCTCTGCTTCTGTCTCCTTGAACCCCAGTCGGCCTCAGCAGATGGCCGCTCACACTGAGTCTGGTTTTGCTGGAGGTTTTCTTTCTGTTAAAAAAGAGTTTTTCCTCTCCACTGTCGCTACAAGCATGCTTAGTGTGAGGGATTGCATTCGTGTCAATCAGTCGATGCAATCAACTGGTTTTCCTTAGATAGAAAACTTTGAATCAATCTGACAGGATGATCTGGTGAACTGTAAAGTGCCTTGAGATGACATGTGTTGTGAATATAGAATATAGAAATAAACTGAAATGAATTGAATTAGGAGTTAAAACTAAGTTTTTAGTACTTGATATCAGACTCACTGTTGGTCATATATTTTGTATTTCATCTATTTATAATTTATTAAATAAAAATAAACTTTTAGTTGTTTTTTTTTTTTACAAAAAATGAAACATTCAAGGTTCAAGAAAAAAATGTTGAATGAATTTACAGTATAAAGCTTTTCAAACGAATGCCTGCTGTAGGAAACATGTTTGAACTAGAGATGAACTGATACAGGATTATTAAGGCCGATCCCTAATATGTCCTTCTTGTCCAGCGATGTGGCTTTGGTGGTCTAGGAAAAGTCTTCTTGTGTTGTGGACACCGAGGAAGGTGATGCTGGTCAGTAGATTATCAGCAAACTTGGGACTGATGGTGACTCATGCAAGGTGGTAGATTAGCTGAAAACGTAATCGGAACGGGGCCGAGCAGCTTTCGGGTAAGAGCAGCTTTAGTATTAAAAAGAAAAAAAAAAAGTTTTTGCCCCTCAGAAGTTATGAGTATATCTATAACTTTCATTGGTTAAAAAAAAAAGGCAGTTTGTTTCATGTAATGTTAATGAAAATCAAGAATTGTCTTATAATATATTTTTTTATCCCTTCAAAGAAATAATTCTAATTATGTTAGAATAATAGAACAATAATTATTTGCTCCAAAGTGGGAGATGGTTTCTACAAATGATTAAGAACGTTTTTGAATAAAGTATTAAAATATAGCGGTCTTACAAGCTTCAGGTTTTTAAAGGAATATTTTTTTAGATCATTTTACACACATACAAACAAATAAACTTTACATAATGCATATTCATTTGTATAATAAAGTGTATTTATTTTAAATAAATAATCATCCGGTTTATGCATTTAGCATTAAGAAAGTATACTTACTTGGTGCTAAAGAGTATTTATTTCAGATGTTGAAATAAATCTGATTATTATTGTGCAATTCAAAATTTGAATTTAATTATTTGAAATAAATACATATATTTTATTATATATTAATTTTGGGTATGTATATTTATGTTTTTTTTCATTTTTGATACGCATTTGGAAATAATGTTTTATGTATTGCAAAAAAATAATCCTGGCAGTTATATATTTTAAACCAAATAAGCTATATTAAACTAATGATATGCATAATGAAAGGTTTATCTAATAATTATTTTTGTTAAGATTATCTAAAAAAAAAAAAAAAAAAGGAAATGGTAATTGTTATATAATTAAATAATCCATAAAATGGAAAAGAACCAGAAATATGTGTTTTCAATCTATTTTTCTTATCCGTAGATCGGAAAGTTTTTTTTATTTTATTATTTTTTTTATTATTTTTTTTTTATTAAATAAATATATTTTTTAATAAAAAAAGGAAACTTGTTTTTAAACATTTTCCACACTCTTTAGAAGAAAATCAATGCTTCTTTACCTAAAAAAAACAAACAAAATTGCAACATGTTTTTCAGAGCAGATATTTTTAATAAAAAAAATGTAAAAAGGTAATATAGTAATATTTTAGCTTTAATCTGCTTTTCTTTTGCTGGACTCGATGTAAAATTGTATTTTGGATTTTAAAGCTCTCCTGGTGTAGCCTAAAAGTTTCCCTCAGGTTCTTCTTTTCATTTTAATGACTCATATTTAACGCTTTCCAAAACTGGTTTTTACAGTGCAGGCTAAGGGTTAAACTGAAACTCGTCATGACTCTGAAATCCGACACAGTTCCTGCAGAATGAGTCTTCCTGGAGTTGAAACCTTTCTGTTTTCCGCGGGTTTGTCTCGGCCAGAGGCTCCACAGGTGGGCTCCGTGTTTGGTTCCATGTAACCGCTGAGCTGAGGTGTTTCCTGGCCCCTCAGAGCCGCTGCGCTCCTCCGGGTTCACGCATGGCGACCGCCGCCGCGAAAAAATTACGCATTTCCTAAAGCCGGAGCGCTGGGCTATAAACACCGTGGCAGGCCGTGGAGTGACGTGTAGGTAAGATTTAAATGAAAATACTACTACTAGTAATGTTTTTTCCCCTTCACATGGAGGATTACTGATATTTCCTGTTCCTACCTGTGTACTCAGGTGAGTTAGGACACCTGTAAACACGCAGCGCTCACCTACTGTAAACACCTCCTATACTAGATCCGTATTTCTAACTTAGTGAAGTCATACTTTATAACTTTATAAAGTTGTTCTGATGTAGTTTAAATGATGTAATCAGTTTTATTGTGCCTCCTCTCTCTCAGCATGGTGGATTCCAGTATTTCCGATGGCCCCGAATCGGAGCAGCAGACCCTGCTCTCCTTCTTGGAGTGCCCTCTGTGTTTTGAGCGTCTGGACGCCTCTGCCAAGGTGCTGCCATGCCAGCACACCTTCTGCCTGTCCTGCCTGGAGAGGCATGAGGTGGCCCAAAGCAAACTCTTCTGCCCGGAGTGTCTAGCTCCTGTTCCTGTTAGGAAAGTGGAGGAGCTCCCTGAAAACCTGCTGCTGGTTCGGCTCCTGGAGGGACTCCAGGGCCTGTCTGGTTCTGGCAAAGGCCCTCAGAGGGGCCGGTATGCAGTGCCTGTAGATAGGGGCGCCTTGAAGGTTCTGCAGCAGGTGAGTCAACACAGAGAGAGGCAGGGGTGCAGTGAGGTCAGTTCATTACACCTAGATCATAAGCTCTGCATCTATGTGTGTGTGTATATAGGGCTACCTGTCTAGCCCTCAGAGTGAGGACCATTTTTCCAATTTCACCATCAGATTGAGGACCAGTTGTTGCAAAGAAAGGACATTTTGCTGGTCCTCCAGGGGCGGAGCTTGATGATGGGCCAGAGGTGGCCATGGCCACCCTTAGCCAACCCTGTGGCCACCCCTACCATTTATTTCCCTCTAATACAGATAGTGGCAAAACATTTTAATTTTTCTTATATTAACAATTAATTGACAACAAATTCTGCACATCAATATACTAACATTAAAGATGATAAATACAGAATTCCTGCTCTTTTCAGAACTAGATTTTGGGTCTTATGGGGTAAAGAGAAAATGATGCGTCTCTGCAAGTCATTTGGGAGTCTTCAGTGAAATCATAGATAAATAACAATTTTAATAAAAACTTATTAACTTATCAATTTATGTAGATATTAGTATTTGTAAAAATAGATTTTATGCAGATTATTACTGATAAAAGTAGGTAAGTAATGATAATGGAAAAGATGTTTGCCCAAACCTCAAAGAATTTTATCCACTGTACCTTTTATGTAGAAAGCACAGATATTTGAATATCTTCCTCTAGCAAAGCCTGTGGGAAAGTATAGTTTGTCTTTATTTAGAAAATATGGATGTTTTGCTCGTTAATTTTCCTGTTGGAACAGTAGAGATTGACCGTGAGCTTTTGGTGCCTATCTGCTTTCGGCCACCCCTCAGTGTTCATTTGTTATTGCCTGGCCACCCTTATTAAAATGTTCGGGCTACGCCTCTGCAGTCCTCACATGCTTATTTAGGGCTAAGGTGTCAATTGGTTAGGGTTAGGGTGAGGTATGCATTGGTAATGGTTAGGTTTAGGGTTAGTTTTAGGGTTAGGGCATAGAAAGGGTTAAAAATGACTGAACTTCAATGGAAGTCAAAACATGGTCCTCACTATGATGGCAGAACGAGTACAGTATGCGTGTGGGTGTGTGTGTGGGGTGGGGGGTGTTCATTTTCACTTCAACAATTATGTCATTGCAAGATGAGGTGTTACCGAAAATAAGTGTATGTTGATGTTCACAACCACAGAAACGTGAGCTATATTGTGCAACCTAAAGGTGTGGCTCGGTGGTAATATTCAGACACAAGCGACTCTGCCTTTAGGGCTGTTTATGACCTTCTTCCAGATTAGGGTTGTCAGAAGTATTGATAATCTGAAAAGTATTGATACTCAAATACTGTATCTAGATACCATGGGCTACTTAATTACCATGGTATCAATATTAAGGGTTGTTTGTGAATATTTGCTCATTTTAATCTTAGATTTCCAGATTATTTGGACATAAAAAATACATAAAACAACCTAATCATTTTGTATAATCTTTTTTTATTTGGGTTATTTATTTTACATTCATTTGCACACATATTTAACTAATATAATCTCAGACTGTTAAGAAAGCATATTCCATGTTGAGATTATAAAAGGAGATTTTTTTTATTTTATTTTACTGCAAATGGTTTTATTCCCATTGTATCAAGAATGGTATCGAAAAATTTTACGATCATGACAACTTTTCTTTTCCAAATCCTATGTTGAATGTCTCATTTGGACTATTCTATACTCACAGAGACATTAAAAGATAAGAGAAAAACCCTCATTTATAAAATAAAAAAAAAACTGAAAGAGAGAAATTAAAGCCAAATGATCTACAAACAGATTAATATGGCTCAGCAACTTTAACAATCCTAAAATAAGAGACGCTTTTTTGCCGCTCTGTACTAAAAATCATGTAATCAAAGGTTGAATTTATTGCAGATGAATCCCAATAATTTTGGAACGGATAAAAATGCAAGCCTTTTACAAATCAACTGCGGGTTCTTTAATAAAAAAAATAAAGAACATAATTATGAAGTTTGTCAACTAATATAAGCTATTATTGTTGCAGAAATGATTTGCATTAGTGCACAATTCTGCATGAAACCCATTTACGTTACGTTTGACGTTTATAATAAAGATACCTCCCTTAATTCTGTCTAAATTTTAAACAAAGGTATTCAAAGTAACTGTGTAGAGCCTAAATATGATGCAGACAACTATAAACTAGAATATTTTGCCAAAACTTCTACAGAAGATATAGAAATTCATTAATCTCATATCCTGATATGTTTGACAAAGGAACCAAATGTTCTCGAAGATAAGAGTACTCTGAATTTTTCAGTTTGTTGTGTTTTATGACAAAAACAGAAGAAAAGCGTTTATTATGAAACGTAGCAAATCTCAGAGAAGTTACTTTCTCCAGTTGGTTCCGCCCTCAAAAAGAAAAGTTGTCATGAGTGCAAAGACACAAAATATTGGTTTAAAAACTAGGAATTTTACCTTATTTTTATTTATATAATAAGTTGTATCTTTCTTTCTTTCTTTATTATTAATAACCATGTTTAGAAGTTTTTCATGAATTAAAAAGTTAGAGTTTTTCCACCCACCCAAACCTCTAAATACACTATGGCTGCCTTTGCAAATAATTGTTAGTAATGGTTGCAGGGAATTGTCATTTATTTGCACCTCTGATGATGTATAATTCAGTAGATAATGTTTCTCCAAGGTAATAAATGGACTTATTACCTGTTCACCACCTCTGCTTCATATCTTCAATGTACTTCTCTTTGTGTTTGAACAGCTTGCCTTATCAGGTCTTGGTAGTACCTATTATAACATCACAGTTAGTTATTTACTTTGTAAATAAATGATACCGACACTTCTTCTGAGGACAACAGATGGCAACCTTTACACCGCGGTCTGAGCTATTTTACTGAAATACATTTGTTAAAACACAAATCTTGAGTTTGGCATTTGACCTTTTAGCAATATTATGAAATAATTAGTCTTTTGTATGCATGGCCGTGATCCATGTTGAAGGTTTTAGGTGTAAACAATGGAAAAATTTCCCGATGGTTGTTGCTACTTGCCCATTGACTGGGCTCCAGTTAGTTTTTATGGTGTTTCATCTCTTATGCACGTTGGTGCCTGAAGCCGTTTAATTAATTCTGTAACAGTCACACTAGAGTATAATCCCATGTATTAAAATGTTTTTCTCTGCTCCTGTTGGCCTGAAGCGAGGAGGTCTGTTTAGAACTGTATATAGATGGTTCATTGTTCCACTGATAGACGTTAACTCAGAGATGAGGGCTCAATTCACACATTATAAAGAGCTGAATAAATAGGGAATTAATTTGATCCATTATTTTTGTAAGCAGAGGATATTTGTTGTAAATGTTACTCAGAGAAGAAAAAAAACCTCTATGATGAAAGAAAGTAACTTTGGTGATTTCTCAGATCTTTGTTTTTAATTTTTTGTCTAATTTCCAAAGCAAAACGCTCGCTCTTGAAGCACACATTGACCTTTACAATGTTGTTGCCACCTGTAAAGACCAATAGGAATGCATGTTGAGTCATCACTCCAGAGAAAAGCTTGCCCTCAGAACTGAAGAGAATATGATATGAAAAAATGCATTAAGAAAATGGTGCAAATCGTAAAATTCAATCTGAAAAGCAGAAGTTAAAAAAAGAGTAGAGAAAATGTAAAATCGGAAAAAAACAAATGTAAAACTTAAAAAAATGTAGAGAGAAAAAAACTACCTAAATTATGAAAAAAAAAAATTGAAAAACAAAATATGAGAAAAATTGAAAATTACTCTGAAAATATATTTTAATTAAAATGTTTTTCAAAGTTTACTTTGATATGTTGCATTATTTTCCGAATTTCTGTTTACAAAATGTGTTCTTTGCATGCAACAATAATGGACCAAAATTCACAGCATAAATACGAACCCCTGTATTTCCCCCTGAGTCCCATTCTTAAAAACAAGCCTCCACTGACAAAGCCAGTGCACACGTTAAAGTGCTCATGGATAATTAATTAATACTAAGGGGTATGCATTGATACAGAAAGAGCGCTCAGGTAACAAACTGAGAGATTCACTTATGTCCAGATCACATTCTGAAACGCAACACCTGGGACCTGATTGCCATGATTAGAAATGCACAATATTGGAATTTTGTCAGATATACGATATGTCAATATTTTACAACTCACCTGGCCGACAAGCTGTCCCAGCATTGTTTCCCTTAGACCTCCTTTCAAATACAATATAGTCTCTTCCTCATGTCCTGTTCAGTCATTTTAAATAGCAGCTCGGCCATCAGTCTTTGACAGATATCAGCTATCTGATCCATGCCACCAACATTTTTACCTCAGCATCTCTTCTGTGGCAGACTCATGCATCGGTTGGGTCCTGCAGGCATGTGTATCAAAAACATTACCTTTAATATTGGAGAGTTATATTAAGTTAAGGATGTTTTTCTCAGCAGAGTCAATGAAGCTGGTCAGGGTTGATGGGATACAGCTAAATACAGGGCTAACCTAGAAGAAAGTCTCCCAAAAGCCCCCAGAAACCTGAAGCCAGAGTGCAGGTTTGAACTTTAGCCAAATAACATAAGAGTTGGTTTAGCTCAATACATATTTATTTATAAAGACAGTCCAGTCAGGAACTAAATCCGTTTGAGAGTTTGAGGCGAGGGGTGAAAAGTAAAGCATAAGGTTATAATCACAGACATTCCCTAACCAATCTATCTGAGCTTGATGTAGTTTCCAAAGAAGAATGGGCAAAACTTCAGTCACCAAATGTCTAAAGCTGGTAGAACAAAAAAAAAAAACATAAATGGCAGCTAAAATTAGAGTGAAAGATGGCTCTATACAGTATTGATTGCTCACCAATCATTTTAGGATTATATGAAATTACTTTTAAAAAATATGCATTAAAAAATATACACACACACACACACACACACACACATATATATATATATATATATATATATATATATAATTTTCTTGTCAATTCAAATTTGTGCAACTCAACTGTGCTTGTGAGAATATATGTAAAATATATTGTATATGAATACTATGTATGTATAATATGTATTTTAACTTAACCCTGTTTTAGGGGAACTTTTAACAACTGTTCAGGGTCAGCAGAAGATTAAAAATAGCTGCTAAGACTAATTCTGGTACATTTACAGAAATGCTCATTATTGTACATTATCCTTCTCAAGTACACTAGTCAAAAATATACAAATCAATTACAAACAAGACTATAAATCTAACAAGACAAAATATGTAAAATTTAGAGTATATGAAAACTTTTGCACTGTAGTACATGTTTCTCTTAGGCACCAAAATATAGATAAAACAATTGCATGTAAAATGATACCGTCGTGTCTGACATGTAAAACGATCCCAGATTCAACCTCCTGAACTGAGCCGAGCTTTTTGAACTCTAACTGAACTCAAGGTGGGGATTTGAAGCAAATCTTTAATGAAGCAGGTTGGACAAAATTCTAAATGCACTGAAACTAATTTCCTTTTATTTATTTATTTTTTGAAAGCATCACAACTAGGAATCCATGATATTATCATAGGCTGATATAAGCTTCACAACTAAATATCAGTAGTCTACCATTCTATAAAAAAAAAAGAATATGTTTGACATATGTAAAGAGCAACTCAAACTTTTTTAACCAAAAAAACATCACTCACTTCTTTTTGCCATGTTTTTGAACTCAACTCTAAACAGCTGTACACATTTTTACAGCCAAATTCAATGTGAAGGATCTTTAAAAGAAAAGATGAAAAACTGCAGATATTTGACTGTTTCCTGTTCTACAGGCAGCCTTAAGAACGTCAGCGAACAACCATCGCACTGACATGTCGGGGGAGCCTGTCTTCCCTCCTGAGCATAACTTCCCCTCCAGCCACAAAACGGAGGACAGCCGCTACTATGGAAGCAGCAGCGACGGGAGCAGAGCGTCTCTCAGCCAGACGGCCCAGCTGCAGCCCCTCCAGCAGGCCCAGCCGCAGCCTCTCTGCAGGGCGCTCTGTGACTTCAACCCCGAGGAGATGAATGTGGAGGACACCAAATATTATCTCAGCTTCCTCAAGGTCTGTTACTCAACACAACATTAGCACCGCAGGGGAAGCTCACAGCTGCACTGCTACCATCATTTACAAACTATAAAACCCAACCTATAATGCAGTATCAAAAAAGAGGGAAAAGATAAACTCATCCATAAATTTAAAGACTATTTAAAGGAGCCAAATTTTTGTCTATGTTATTTTAGTGTTGCAGCTATAAACTCCTTTTATATTCACAATTTCACTGTATATTTGTGTAAATGTTATTATCAGTTCCCTGAGGTTGAGTGTTCATGTAAGATGGTGTAAATAAAAATTTCGCACAATAATCTTCAGTTTGCATATCTGGAGAATGTCTAGATTTTGTATTAATTTTCCTGAATCCCTTCATATTTTGCATATTTTATAAAGTTGTCTTGGATCATTATCTCCCACTGTTTTCTTGGTTCAGTGGGATACTTTGCAGCTTTTTTTTTCCACACCCATGGCCGTCACAGGAAAATATCTGTTTCTTCATTGGTTCTGCATATTTAATCTTCAGACTTGTTTTACAGGTCTGGTTGCATCCCTCTATACCCAGCTTAACCCTCCAAATGTCCTTTGCGATGAGTCAGAGATTTCCATTCTCCCTCGTTTTTTAGTTTTTAGTTCAGACCTTAAATTTATCTCCATCCTATATTAAAAGTTACATTTTTTCAAGAGCTTGAACCTAATTGTTGATGCCTTAAAATAATCAGAGCTGCTTTTTATCAGGACTTGTTAAAGGGAGTTGGATACTTGAATAAAACCCTTATTACTTACGATAAAAAAGAGACCATAGGCACTGCAAGGAGGCTTAAGAGAAGCTGATTTTTGAAGTTAGTAAATCTGCAAAACGGATGAGTTAAGGGGTGTAATCAATGTAAAGTGAAACATGTTTGGACCACCATGTCACCGTGGGCCTGTCTTTTGTTTAAAACCTCATAAGATGGAAGTACACATTGCTAGATTACACAAGTGACAAGAACACTGTCCCAAGTGTGAAACACAGAGGAGGCCCTGTTATGCTCTGGGACAACTTTGCTTCATCTGGCCCAGGGGGTCTTGAATCATTTCACGGTTCGATTAAAACTCAAGAATATCAAGGGATTCTTGAAAGAAATGTGCTGCCCAGTGTCATAAAGCTTGACGTCAGTCAAAGGTCAACAGGATAATGACCCAAACGCTCAGCAAAAACAGCCAAGTATTGCTCAGAGGAAAACATTGGACTGCTCTGTAGTGGCCTTTCAATGAACCCAAACCTAAATGTTATTGAGCATGCTTGTGTCATGATATTTTTAAGAGATCTGACCCAAATGCAGGAAACCACTCAGAGAACCAGCGTAAAAGTTTAATAGGTTTATTGAAATAATCAATAAGGAGATCCAGGGAAACTCAGAGAGCTGGTGAACCGGAAATGGAAGTGAGAAGGGAAGTTCAGAGGTTAGTTCTGGGTCTGTGGGAATTTTGAACAACGTCTTGTAAAAAATCAGAGATGAACGGGACTCGCATTAGCAGAAAAAGGTTCTCTTCTCAGAATCCAGTCAGTGTGGGTTTATCCAGAGATTGGGGGGCTCGTTGGAGGGTGGACAGGTTTTTGGTTATGTTGGTTCCTTGAGGAGCTGTGGAGCGGACTGCCACTTAGATTTCCAGGAAAAATTGAACGGGTCGTGTGGAGATTAACCCCCTGCTCAGTGTGAAGCTCAAAACCATCCTTCCAGGGGGAGAAGGCCAAAAATCCAGTTTGCAGGATGACTTCCTGCCGAAAAGGCAAAGACAAAAACAAGGTTAGAGCTCAGAGAGACAAAGACTCAGTTTAACTCAACTAAACTCAGCTTGGCTAGAGTACCCAAAACTGGCAAACACTCTGGTGACGAGGTAGTGGCAGTCTACCGCTTAAGAGTCCTCAGTAATGAGCACAACCAGCCAGGTGTGTGGGAGGACCAACCAGAACAGGGCGCCACCTGTTTGTGGAGGGAGAGAACACAAAAAGACAAACATAGCCTACACAAACTGGATTCCTTACAGCTTGGTAGGAGCTGAATCAGGCCGTCCGGAAAAGGCAGCTTTCAAAGCTGAGACAACTGTAGCAGTTTATTCATGAAGAGTGAAACAGAATACCTGCTGAGAGCAGAAGTCTCATTGAAAGAAACAGGAATCTTTTGACTACAGTGTTTGCCTCAAAATGATGTGCAACAAATATTAAGTTAAGGGTACATCCATTTTGTCCATGAGTTTATTTTTTTTATGATTCTCTTTAAGCATGGATGAAAAGACTTTTTTATTTATGACTACTTTTGTCAGATGTGAGTAATTTCTGTGACCATTATGGGATTTTCTTTCATTTAACAAGGGATACCAACACCTTTGTCCACATGTGTAGATTTGCAGAAACCACACAGAGCAGTGTTTTTGTTATTTTTGTGCTTGTAGCAGTGGCCATAGTTGGAATGGAGAATACAATGATTTACAAACTGGGAGGATTTACCTCGGAGATTATGTTACTCCAGTTTGTTTAAATTCCAGTTATGAGGATAAAGAGCTCTGCATAAGTCCCTGCACCCATTTCAACATAACCCAACTGTAATAATTAGTTTGTGTTTGTAGCTGGAGTAGCAATAGTTGTTTTTGTGTCAGTTTGTCTTTTACTTTCCTGTTTTTGTCGATAGTATTATAACGTGGTCTGTTTACTTATTCCCGAGCTGCTGATACCAACTTTAGCTGATTTTCATTTTATTGTACACTGTAAGAAAATATAAGAAAAACTTTTTTAAAATATTAATCATCGAGAGCAGAGACAACATCATATGTGTGTGGTTATAGAGAACATATGCTTTAAAATATGCTTTCGGTGTTTTTCTTATGACAAATTAGTTGGGACAGTGTTAATTTAACAGCAAACTCTTGAGTTGGATCAACAGAGAATGATGATCTTTACCAAAACATTACTGCCATTTGGTCAACCCAGCATTGGGTTTATTATTTATGTGGCCTTCCTGTTATCTGCTGAGAGTTGTGTTCTCTCTGACAATAAATGAATCACAGACACGTCTTAGAGTAACAGGTTTCCTTTTAGACATCCTCCTGACCCCTGATTTTATCCTAAACACCTTGCTGACTCTAAAAACCGCTAGCATTGAGGGTTATATGTTCAGTAGCAGCTTCCAGCTCCACAGCACATCTCTGCTTGTATTATGGCCTCTTTCCAGTTCAATATGATGTCTTCTGTTTTTAGAAAAGGGCTGGATCTTTAAGCTTTTAAGCTGAATGTCACTCTCCAGGGGAGCTGAAAATTGTCCGATCCAGGTTGCCAACTGATTTCTTTGTCCCTCTTTAATTTTTACCCAAGAACAGCAGTAATGAAAAATGTATTGATTTATTACGAAGGTTAAAAAAAAGTCAGCCATTCAGAAAAAAAATCTGACTTATAGCCTCATTGTACTGGCCTATCATTTTCTATTAACAGTGTGTGATCATGGATCACTTACTGCACAATAAAATTCTGGCGGTACCGTTATGTAATGGTCACTGCTTTTTATTCGCTCTTGAAAAGTGAGACTTACGGAGCCGAGGGCCCTGACCTCTGCTGCACTGTTCGTTACTTACCCTCAGGCGTCACTGACGCTGTTATATAAGGGCCTCGGTTTCTTGTGTCCTCTCCATTAAAGCGCACTTCAGCTGGCCTTTCTCTTTAATGGAGGTGGGCAAATGCTTTTTTTTTTTCCTTTTTTTAAGAGGTTGCCCACAGAAAGCAGGCCTGCAGACACAAAGCGAGCCCATGTCACATGTTGCAGCAGAAACACAGTACTGAGAGTTTTTGGACTGAGTGCTCATTCTCTGGGAAGGGCTCTGCCAGTTTTCAGCCAGCTGACGTTTTCCTGGTCTTCTCTCTGTTTCTGTCAATTCATTCCGGTCTGCAGGGCGACATCCTGACCGCCATCAGACGAGTGGATGAGCAATGGTTTGAAGCAAAGCTGGGGGAAAAAGTTGGGATTTGTCCTATACAGTTTATAGAGGTGAGCTTCTTTCTTATTCTTTTTTTTTTTCTGTTGCTTAACTTTTCCTGTCATTTCTTCAAATCATACAGAAACTTAACATGTATGTCTCACTGGGTGGACCCTGCATTTTTTTTTCATTGAAATGTTTGATTCATCAGTAAAGGTCACTTTTATGCTGCAAAGCGCTGAGGAAGAGGACTCATCTGTGAAGCTGTGCTGTGTCTGCAGCTGCTCATTAGTGTGTGACTGTGTGCCTTACTCAGGTTCGCTGGGCTTGCTTAGCTTGCTGGCTGTCATTTGTTTTCCTCTGTGCTTTATGCCTTAAGGAATTAACTTCATCCATGCTGGAGAGCGTTGCATTTGCTTATACAGTTGCTACACTGCTGTGCAGCACTCAGTCCTGGTTAGCTCTTCTCCAAAAGTGTCCTCCTGTCACTAAGACACCTGCTTTTGTCTTCACATTCTCTTGATCCTTCCTTTTATCATCTATATTTGCCTCTGCTTGTACTTTTCTCCTCTTCAAGCCTGTCTCTCTTCTTGTCGTGCAGCCAGGCGTGAAGACGCGGTAATGCTTTCTCAGCCTGGGTGACATAACAGCACATCCCAGTGCCGAGGGAGCAGCATCAACCCTGCTATGCCTGTCTGTCTGCCTGCTCCTTTCTCAGCATCGCTCAGCCCTTCCTGGCTGATTGGCTGGTACTTATCCTGTCTGCCTGCCAGCCCGTCCAACAAGTTGTAAGGGAGAGCCGAGTTGTGATCAGTGGGTGTGTTTAGACAGCCGTTTTGCACATCATCCCGAGCAAGAGGTTGTTAGGCACTAGCAGCATGCAGGAGAGGATGTGGCATAAATTCAACCAGATTTTTAGTTTTTCCTCTCTGAATGTTTCAGCCAAACTCCGCTGCAGCCAAGCTGCTTAAAGGAAAGGGACGGAGCGGGAGTGACTCAGCAGAACCTCACCATCAGTCAGGGAGTGGGGGCAAAGAGAAGGCCGCTGACGCACCCAGCTGCTCGGCCCATCACGGAGCCCCGCAAGGTCAAGCCAAGACGCCCTCCGTCAACACTTTGCGGAAACAGCCCGGAGTAAACAGCTCCTTCCAGCCGCCCGCCAACATCAGTGCCTCATTCAGCTTCAACCCTCAGGGTCAGCCGCAGCACCTCTTGGCGCCCTCTGCATCCCACGGCCGCTCTCACCCTCACAGACTGAACTCTCGGCGAAGTAGCCGGCGCTCCTACTCTCACAGACACCTGTTACAGGTTAGTGCAACTCTGCAGTCTCTGCTTTACTTACATCACCCATGTGGTTGATATTTTCTTAATAGGGATTCATTCAAACAAAAAAGAGAAGAAAAAAAAGAAGAAAAAAAAAATATATATATATATATATACATACAACTTGAGAACAGTTGAGATGATAAAGATGTTTTGCTTTAGTCATGAAAAGATAGAGCTGACCTCAGGAATGCAGGGAGGGAAATAAAAACACTTAGCTGAAGTAGCGGATGGGGGGGGTCCACCCGTATGCTGGCTGGAGATTGATTAAGAGGCTTTTATTAAGAGAAAACAGATGTGGGAAAGTGCAAGATAAGAAATATGTGAGTGGACTGTAGCTTTGAAATGGTCTTTAATCATCTGAGTATCGGGGCAGAGTCCAGGTTTTTTTCCCTAAAGACATGAATTCCAGCCTAACAGGGTTTATAGGAGTGTGTCCTTTTTTTCCGCTGTCAACTCAAGCATTGTCTTGCTCAATACAGTACAAAAAAGGGCTGTTTTCCATAAAGATTGAAACTGAATTGTATGTCATAGATAAGATCCTTTGTGAATCAATTGAAAATGTAACTGTCTTCGTGATAAAATGTTTACAGTGAAATGAAGCATCGCTTCTCTAAAGTTGCCCAAAGTCAGAGAGAATTGCTAATAAGCCAAATATAGCTAGATATAGATATATTTATACAGTATATGGCCCATATGACTCGTTCTTCTATCTAATCCATGTTGCTTGGGGGTTAAGAACCTCTTGGTCATAGTAACTGTAGTTTCTCTCCCTTTGGACACTGTTGTTCACTTATTAAGTGATGATTCACAGCTAGAAAACCCATAAAATCTTGCAGGCAGGAAGACTGTTGTGATAAAAAAATATATCTTAAAGTTATGTGCAAGTTGTGCTATAAAAGTTGCTCCTCCTTAATGATAAAAATCAAGATATGTTAAAAAGTATTCAACAAAGTTACCTCTAGAGATGAACCCTAGTTAAAGAAAATTAAAGTTAAGTATTAGAAATATTATAGTTTACATTAGAATGTGCAATGCTGTTAAAATAAGTATTAATTTTCATGTATGTACTTGGTGTCAGACTTACATTTTTAGATCAATGAATGCTTTTAAAGTGCAGAATAAATAATGGGATCTTAAAGGGAAGATTTTATTTATTGAGAGAAAATAGTAACACAGTTTGAGAGCAGAACTTTATACCTACAGTCAAACATGGTGGTGGGAGAGTGATGATTTGGGACCGCTTTGGTTCCTTGTCTTTATCTAATGTGAAATCCTATTTTCAAAGCAATTAAAAAGTGCACCATATTGGATTTGATCATTTTTCATCTGTTTAGTTAATTTTGTAACGAAAAAGATTTTTTTCTTATTACTTTAAACAAGAGAATATTGGTTATTGTTAAATCATGATCTTATTTTTTTTTAGCTCTGAAGCAGCAGTAAAGTCGTCCCTTTAGGTGAAAGCTCTGCAGTTAAATAGGATTTCAGGAATTTTATAAAAAAAGAAAAAAAAATTTAATGTACTCTGCCAACATTTTCTAATCATACATGTTGAATTAAACAATTTAACTTTAAAAAATAAATAAAACAGAATAACTTTGCTGTTTTAGGTGAAGCTCTGCTAAATTCTCCTGTCATTTTTTAGGACAAAAGAACAGCTTGCATTCCGACAGAAATAAATAGTTAGAAGTAGTTTAATTTATCCTCAAGGATATTTAAAATGTATATTTTGACTGGCCTTCCTTGAATAATAGCTTCTACACAGAAGAGTGTTGCTGTCAGTACAAACCAAGCAAAAGTTTGTTTTGGTCACCTGCTGATTTTTTTTCTAGACTACAAGGAAACTGGGATTTATTTAGTTTCCACAAACTTAAACCTGGTTTAAATTGATATAAAATAATGCAAATATATGATTTTTAAAGAAGGCCACATTTTATTTTATATTTTTTTCAAGCTTTTAAAGTGGTGAAGCAAAATCCAGTACAGTTCGTACAGTTTCAAGCCTTTTAAACCGATCACAGTGAAACCCGTGAAAGGCTTGAAAATATAATCTGCTGGTCCGCCCCCTCACATAATGGTTTCCCTTGATTTACATCAGATCCTACAGTGCTGACCTGTAATTACACGTTTCAGGGCATGAAAAGGTGGGCAGGGATCTCATTTGTGTTGGAGAAACCAGGAAACGAAGGAAGTGGAGGGTACCTGAGACCAGTGATAAGAAATGGGGGGAAAGGGATGGGTTAGGCAGGAAGAGAGGGAAAAAAATGTTTGAGGAAATGTTTGTAAGAAAAGACGGTTCTGAGTTGGAGAAGCCACCCACAAAAAGGCAAACCACAGGAGGAAGAAAGAGGAAGGTGGACAAATGAGAGAAAGATGTGGAGAGTGGGAGGTTTGGAGTGTCCCTCAGTGGGTCTGTTTATCTCGCTCATGCTGCTGCTCATGATGATGATTATGATGAGTCACTAGTGAAGTCGGTTACATAACAGACCCCCCCATTCTGCTTCCTCTTCACCAAGCAGGTACCACTTTTACATTTTACCATAATGGCTGAAAAGCTCAACTCTCCCTGTTAGGGCTGTGTCCCTGAAGGCTGGATCCTCCCAGCCGGCCGAGCCCAATGGGGTGGAGACTCTTGGTAGACCTCCCCAGCCCTCACCTCAGGTTCTGCTCTCTTAGCAGGGAGCTGCAGCACTCCTCCCACTGTGGGGGGAATAATGTGTGTCACTGTGAGTGTCCGCATGCTTATGTAAGAGCAAAATTTAGATGGAGATGAAGAAGCTAAAACAAAATCGATATCAGAGCTGTCTTGACTTTTACAGCAGAACTACTCTTCACAATTAGCCAGACTAACTGGACTAATTATCCTTTCATTGCATATGAATCAAATGTAGAAATCTTACAGTCAAAATGATTTTAATTGCCATGGTAACGGTGAATGCCAGATGCATTTATATCAGGGGAATTTAGCTTTCATGCAACAAAGTTATGTAAATGAGGGAATTTTATATCCTGATTAGGCATGTTTGCAGGGATGGCATCGTCGTGTGGTGGTTAGCATAATTTCCTCACAGTAAGAGGGTTCTGGGTTTGAGTCCCGGGAGAACAAGAAACTTTCTCTGTGGATTTTACATGTTCTCTCTGTATCTGTGTTCTCCAAAAACCTGCATGTTAGGTTGATTGGACATTCCACAAACATGAATGTCACTCCTTAGGAGTGAGTGTGCATGTTGGTTCGTCTTTATGTGTCTTTGTTTGGCCCTACGATGGACTGGCGGACCATCCAGGGTGTACCCTGCCTTCCCTATTGAGTGCTGGGAGAGGCTCCCATTAGGGAATAAGAGGTTACGATGGAAGGATAGGTATGTTTTCCCGCTCGGTTTTTGGTAAATGGCATGTACTTATATAGCGCCTTTATTCAATTCAGGAGACTTGACCTTTACACTACATTAATTCACCCATTCACGCACACACTCACGCATGGTGGCAAGCTACATTGTAGCCACAGCTGCCCTGGGGCTCACTGACAGAAGCGGGGCTGCCGTACACTGGCGCCACCGGGCCCTCTGACCACCATCAGTAGACAACGCAGGTAAGGTGTCTTGCCCAAGGACACAACGACACTGAAAGTCGGAGCCGGGGCTTGAACCGTCAATCCTTCAATTTCAGGGCAAACTAATACATCCAACGCCACTGTCGCCCTCAGGTTTTCGCCAGTCTGTATAGGGGGAGGACAGTTTCCAGAATAAGATGAACAAAATATGTTTTTTCAAAGATTTTTGTAGTATTTGATGAAAAATGTTGATTTAATTAAAGACAACTTAAAAAAAAAGTAAAATCTCAGATATATCCAAGCTTTCCACAAATAGTAAAAAAAACAGTATGTATCTATTTTAACATGCGGGTTCATCTGTCTACAGTGTTGTTAGAGAGGAGATGAAAACATCAGTGTATTACACTCGGATGTTGCAAACAAAAAAGGGAAGTCAGAGAAGTTAAATTAATATGGAAAATCCATTAAAAAGTCAACAAACAACAATAAACAACCATACACCAAGAATCATATGAGGTTGGAGTTCAGCTTCTTTTTTACACAGAGCTCCTAATAATACATAATCCTGATTCAAAGTTTAAATACACTGTATGTAAACCGCCATGATGAATGAATGAAACTTTTTGACCGTGTGTATATCTGAAGGCCCTCTTTAAACCACTGTCAGCTCTAAGAATAATTGGTTCCTGATTACCACAAAAAAGGCTTTAAGCAACCCGATCTCTGACATATAAGACCTGATCTTCAAAGATTTTAGATAAGGAGAACTAATTTGCTGTGGAATACAAGAAACTATTTAAAATCAATAATATTAAAAATACTAAATATCACAAATATCTTACAAATGGACCGGGGAAAGGTATAATTATCTGATCGCTGACCCCCCGACCCCTGGCAGAGAAGAAGTCACAATCATATTTGCAGCAGATTATCTCCTAAACAGACATTTAATCCAACATACAGCAAACTAACGTACACTCCTTATGTTTTATAAAACATAAATTTGCTTCAAGAACCTGTTAAAGAGCATTGATGGAAAAAAAAATGTCCCTCTTGCCACAAGTTAAGAGATGTAGACTTTTAGGAGCGTTGCAACCACTGTGTAAATCTGTCCTGCACGTGCAAAGAAGTTTGCACAAGATTTAACGCACACAAACCTTTTTATGATCCGGTCCTCAATGTCACTCCACACCCCTGATTTTGCATCATGTCCTCTCTTACTCATCCGAAGGCTTTAAAACAACACAAAGTGTCAATGGTTATGGTCTGAATCATAGTAAGGCTTTTTGTTTCCTTTATTGACGGTGACGAAACATCAGTGACAGGCTTCGTTCAACACACCACGGGATTGCACTAATCCTTGTATTAAACAGGGAGTGATCTTTTACTTAATTGGTTGTACAACTCCCTACAACTTTATTATGGATTAACAATA